ATTGCAAAAACAGCAATATTATCACAAAGGTCAGAACAGATTCATTAATTAGTTAATTCGTTTGGACACCTGACATTTATCAAGTCAACTGCAAGTGTCGGAAACCCCACGAACACTTTGATTAGTTTGAAACTATTTCAGCAAATTCTGCAAATTGAGATTTTTACACTCTAAAATAAGATGTATTACTTCCTTCGTGGGCTCTTTTTGTAGCATCTCATATGGATGAATCTTTCCTGCTTCTCCTGCAGAGGACCTGCAGTATTCCTCAGCCTGCTGCTGCTGTCAGTGCCGCATCGAGCCCATTGGCCTCCTGGTGGACTTTCTGTCCGACTGACATGTTATCAGGCAGCTGAAATTACTCTCCAGACTTGTTATTCTCATGCAAATGACCAGTGCTCATTCTGGGTCGGGTGCTTGTATCAATCTGCTACATGTCTTTCCAGCTGCCTTTCTATCCCTTTAAGCTGCCCGTCTCTCTCTACCATTTCCTGTCTCACTTTTTTTAATTGTCTGTCTTTCAGTTCCTTTTATTTCTTCCTCTGGTCATTACCTCTGTTCAGTTCCACTCAGTCTGCCTGCCTGTAGCTGCATGATCATGTATTAGCGCACAATTGAAGGTGAAATAGTAATTTGTTTGTACTCATTCACCAACGTTGTACTTGGCAGCGTCCAATATTGTTGCATAATTAATATTAGACAACGACTGCATTCGCCCTCGGGCAGCTAATTATGAAAAACACCTCATTTTCTCTCCATTCAGTGCTGAATTGTATGTCATGCGCTCCGCAATCCATCCATCTACCCACCCATTTTCTTAACTGCTTATCTAATTCAGGATTGTGGGGGTGTGGGACGTAACACAGAGAGACGGACAAGCAGTTGCACTCCCATTCACTTCTACAGCTGTCACCAAGTGGCTCGTCTTGGACTGCAGGAGGTTCTTAGAGCATGACACACACAGTGGTGCAGTGGTTACTACTGTCACTTCACAGCAAGCGGGTTCTGGGGTCAAATCCACCGCCTTCAGGCTTTCTGTGTGGAGTTGAGACACCAGACTGAAATGCCCTAAATGTTATCATTCAGTACCAAAGATTGGAAATGCAGCTGTAGGTTTCGTTTCTAAAATTCGAAGTGCCTTAAATCATTTCTTCTGGAATGGCCAGCAGCCGATAGATCCACTAGTTCCAAAGGTTCTATAAGAGTCTGTGGGAAAATGGTAGTGGTGATCTAAAATCTGACCCCTAAAGGCCATCATGATAAATCTGGGTGGGAATGAAGAAATGCACTTGGCTCTCCCAAATTTCCATCACTGAAGAGTCCTTGAGCTGCTCAGCGGCCCAAAGGTTAAACTGTTTTGGGAGGTTCCCAAGGCTGGACTTGCTAGTGTGGTAAGAGTATTCCTTGAAAAGACAACTGTCAGTAAAACTATCTGAAAAGTTGAAACAGGTGTAACGTTAATCACTGTTTATTTGACTTTTGGAAAAATATCCAAAACAGATCTTTGCAAAATAACAATGTATGCAGCGCAGCGTGACTCTGCCCCGATTCGTCGGGCTACATTCATAATTTCATCCTCTGTTTGGCCGTAAAGGCTGTGATATCACACTCCTGACCTCCATTAACCTTTAGCTCTTTTTGTAGGTGGTCAGATCAGGTATGCTGACAGACAGTGGGGGAGAAAGAATCCAGAACGATCTCTTTGATTTAAAGCGACAGGCGTGACACAAAGTGTTCAGACCTACCACCATCACTTCACCTCCATTGTATTAGCTGCAGTTACTGTGACAGGGTGGACGCAGTAAATCTTTGTAACGCCTCTTAGCCTCTCAGTCGTTTTGCTTTAATCTCTTTCTCCTTTTCTCCACAGTCTTATCTTTATGAGCAAAGGTCAGAGTGTCTGCTCTTTTCTGTTCTGCTGTCACTGGACACGTCTGTTAGTCAAGTTCTTAGCTCTGGCCTTTAAAGATCAGACTGGACCTGCCACCAGACCGGCACGGATTTCTTTTCACCGTTTAGTTTTTTTCCCATCAGTCTGCCGCCACATTGTTCTGCATTATTTTAAAATGATAAACAAAATAAATAGTTGTTCCAACTGCTGTTTCCCATTTGAACTTCTTTACCTCGAAAACTGTCCCTACTGACAACCTGTACAGTTCAGGTTGTCAGTAGGGACAGTTTTCAAAATATTGAAAACCGCAGAACTTGCTGGAGAGTTTATATAACTTGTCTGGCCCGGGAGCATCTTTGAGTCCACTGGGAGGAACTTGTAGGCATTGTTAGGCAAACTGATGTCTGAAATACCCCGCTAAACCTGCTTCCACTTTGACCCAGCTCCCAAAAATTGGACAGAAACATTCAAATCTGTCGTGTTTTTCGAGGGTTTATAATCTCTTTTGTGAAAATGAAGGTCTCAGGGAAAGACTATAAAAGCACAGGAGAAAATGCAAACTCCACAAAGCAAGGCCCTGCACAAATTATGCTCAAGAACCTCGTTTTGAAGGAACCAGTGAGTAACAGTGGTGCCTATGGTCTGCATTCATTCTCAGATGATGGCACAAACTGTCTGCAGAGCTGACAAGTGGAAGCAGCAAGCTAAATCTAATGGGCCAAACTGATAACATATGACTTCAAACCACCTGATATCACCTGGAAATGAGACAGTCAGTGTGATCCGTTGATCTTTTGTTGTTTTAGGCCATGGCAAGATGCAAGTATTTGTCTAGGATACTCGATGAGCCTTTAGCTGGAATTTGTGATGTGTTTGTTATGCCAAAGCTTCTGTCTCTGGTTCTTACTGCTTTAATTCCTTTATTCATGATGCAGGTCGCTCTAAGCCATAATTGGCTAGGATACAGTGTTCGGTGACACAGGGAAACAAAAATCACCAAATCTTACAGGTGGCCATCTGGAATGACACCGGTGTTCTGTAATCTGATCTTGATGGTCTAGATTTTGTCATAGGGCTGTAAGAGGTGGTCCTGCAGCTATTTAGCTTTGTGCATGCTTTTGCCTTTTAGCCTGCCTGCACAGCAGCATTTTGAGAGAATAATTGGCTCCAAGCTGATGAAAGAAAATGAGAGATGGCTGCGAGCGTGTTTATGTTCTCTACGGCTTTCTGACACGCAGCATGGGCGTGTTAGCTTGTGAGCTCAGTGGGACTCTGGTCAGCAGCCTCCTTCTTCAGAATTCGTCCATCTGGTGTTTGAGCTCTGTGTGGCTGTTTTCCACACATGCAAACACACACACACACACACACAAAATTGCCTCTCTTTTTCTGCTTTTAACACTTCTTTATTGTGCAGCAGCCCATTTAATCAACTGCAGTTTATCTGTCCAGGCAGACTTCTGTCAATAACTCCCACACTTCTGCATGCATTGTGAGCAGTGTGCACACACACACAACTGGGGTTTACCACTTCGGAGGACATTATATTGACTTTCATTGATTTCCAGGACGTCACCTTGGCTCAGTCTTAAAGGGGATCTGTTATGCTTTTCCATATTCTGTTCCAATGGTGTATTCTCATAACTACACATTATGAAAATTGATTATGTGCCCAGTTACTAAACCTTCACTTGTTCAGGGCGGTTTCATGTCACACTATCAGTGTACTTTCTCTAATGCGAGGGTTGGGAATAAACTTCCTCCGAGGATGGCTGGGTTCTCTCTTAGAGACAGGGTGAGGAGTTTGGTCATTTGGGAAGCACTCGGAGTACAGCTGATTCTCCTCAGCATTTAAAAGAGCCAGTTGAGGTGGTTCAGGTATCTGTCTCAGGATGCCTCCTAGGTGAGATATTTTCAGGCATGTCTTAGAGAGCAAGGCCTTGGAGCAGACCCAGGACACAATAAAGAGATTATAGCTCTTGGCTGGTTGGGAATACTTCTGTGACTTCCCAGATGAGTTGTGGAGGTGGCTAGGGAGAGGGAGGTCATGGATTGTCTGACTGCTGTGCCTGCAATGGATGGATGGCAATGAGCCTATACCTGGACCTATAACATTTATTTCCAGTTCAGTTTTTCTTTTACTGGAGTAGCTTTGCATGATTCATAGCTCAGAATGATCTCTATTCATGTTATTCTGGGCCTTGGTGCAGCCCACAGTTCATCCTGTCTGAAGCAAAGTATTTTAGCTCGCTTTCTTCTCCCTTAAGCCAACTTCCTGGACTGGCTATGTAATAAGCACATAGGTGGGGCAACCTATCAGCTCAAGCGCCTGCGTGACCTCCTTTTCTCCTTGACCTTATACAGAGCTGTAGGTAGAGAAAAATGTTTTGAAATGTTTTGAGCAGTTTAACCTCTAAGCTTTTGGCTCATATGGACTGTTAGATTTACTGACCTCATTACTGGAAATTCAAATATGAACATTCACCACTGCAACAGGATATCTTTGCAGAACGAGCTCCATTGAATCAAATACGGAATATATTAAATTTAATAGGATGAAGTGATCAGGTTTAGTGTCGCTGTCTTAAGCAGATCTTTTACGGATCTACAGTTTACACACAGACATTATCTGGAGATGGTTTTTTCATTGCTTTGAAATATTTAATGCTTTTAATGTAGGGTCTTTACCTTGAGGCAACTGTTGTTGTGTTTGGCGCTATATAAATAAAATTGAATTGAATACTGCATCTTTTAATCTTACATGTGACCTATAAATATGCTTCTGTTCCAAAACTGTTCCAAAACTTTAAGGCCCTGTGCATCGTGACAAATTCAACTTTTTAAGTTCCTAAAGAAAGTTCTTAAATTACGATTTATATTTGAGTATAGCCTCTGAATGGTTCGATTGATGCATACTGTGGTTCAATCAATTTTCATTATTCGGGTTTCATAACTGAAAAGTGGGATTTTTGGCTCACAGTGAAAGGTCAAGCAATGCAATTCATTCTTTTTTCCTCACCAGAACTTATTTCATCTCATCCAATCTACATGGACATCTAATACATCACTTATCTATAAATGGTGTCTTTTTTTTATTCACAACTCTCTGCAGGAGCTGGAGGCTGGTCTCCTCTCATCTCAGACAAGTATCAGTGGTTGGAGGTCGACTTAGGCGAGCGCACCAAGATCACAGCTGTTGCCACACAGGGCCGTTATGGCAGCTCGGATTGGCTGACGTCCTACCTGCTGATGTTCAGTGACACGGGACACAACTGGAAGCAGTACAGACAGGAGGACAGCATAGGGGTGAGTAGGGTTTGGCGATCTTCTCCATAGTCCTATTGTCCCCCTGTGAGATAAGTGTCCCCCCGTCCCCTTCCATCCACGAACAGGGAAGGTAACTGAACAGGTAGTTGTTAAGGCAGCTGTCCAGCTTCCATAAAACATACAGTGCTGTGTGGGAAATAGAAAAACGCCACCGGC